TCCTATTATACCCTTATTTACACTTCTTGAAAATTGTAAAAGTGTATGTTGTTTCCCTCCAATTTATTTCACTTTAATTCAAATAAGTGGTTGTAATTTTGAAGTGAAAAGTTGTCATAAGGGTAAAATTGTAACTTTATTGTGCTAATCATTGTTGCCTTAATCTGTGTGTCATTTCTAAAGTGGACAACTAAAAAAGGACGGAGGGAGTAAAAAATAATATTGTTCGTCAATTATCTATGACCCAATTACATGAAATAAAAAATCTCATAATAACTCAAGGATATAATTGGAAAGAAGTTTTTTTGTAGAGTTTTAAACCCCACACAAAATTAGGTAAGAAGTAACGAACCAAACACTTGATAAAAATAATCCCTGCATTACTAATCCAAGCATTACCAATCCCTGCATTATTAATTAATGCATTACTAATCCCTGCACTATTGATCTTTGTACCAAACTGCCCCTAAATGTCAAGAAATGACGTCTAATATCTCTCTGGTATTAATTTTTTATTCTTTTTTTTCCCTATATTATTATAGATCGACTTTTATTAATTTGTATGCATATAAGCAAAGATATTTTAGCCGTTATATTATTAGTTCTGTATTTATTATACGGAAAAGGCTCAAAAATACCCTTGAACTATTGGAAATAGCTCACATATACCCTTAAACTATGTTCTAGCTCAAAAGTTCCGTTAAAGTATTGGATCACATTTATCCTTACTATTAACAGAGGTGTGTTAAGTGTCATGTGGACGCCACATAAGCACCAAACAACTCTCACTTCCACATAGACTCATAAGACCTAATTACTAATTTTGCCCTCATTTTTCTTAAGAAATACAATTTCACCCATTCTCATTTCTCTAATACATCATATGATTTCCCCTAGGGTTATACAAATTTCCTCTCATGGACGCCATTGGATTTCAAAGTTGATTTCGCGGTGGGGTTTCATTATAGATATGGATTTTCCTGTCATTGTATCTTATTGTGACAGAAAGTGGATATGACTATCATCATGTTCATTTGGTCACTCTTATGGCCGTGAAACAATAACGTACATAATTGAATGGAGTTAATAAACAGCCGAAGTCTTTGGTGGCTGAAAAATTCTTAATTGGAATTTTGTTCATCATATGTTTTGCCTTTTTCTTCCAGTATCTGATGTACCAATCAATTCTTTTATCACCTTTTCTTTTCTTCTGCTTGTTTATTGTGGGTCTATCGTGAACCGCTGGTGTAAATTCTCCGTCCTTCGAATTTGTGTAGTTGCACTGTCAAACTTGAGTTGTTTCAGCTTATATTGTGAAGAGAAATCATCTGGTAATGCGTAGTATTGGAATTCGATTAAATTAGAAATGTAGCCAACAAGGAAATAACAAACAAAACTATTTCTCTCAGCATTACACAATCCTCATTTCAATGTGATCTTTTACTCTTTAGATATTCCAACAGGAAGCGTTCTCTGTACTTTATAATTGACCAACTCCTTTACAGAACATGCATAATCTAACCAAGTACAACTACAGAGTTGAGGCAGATTCACTCAAGAGTATTCTTGTGAGAGTAAATACAATTATAGTCAACCATAGTTTCTCCCCAGGGTCAACACAAAGACAACTATAATCATTCTAATCAAGACAAGTTGTGGCCATGCAACAGCACAATTTTTGTGGTGAGTGAAGTAACAAAGATGTTCTACACCTAAAATAGATTCACAAATATCTCATATCTAAACTAAAGGAATTATATAGATCACTACAAACCATGTGTAGTAACAACATTTATGATCCACTTAACGAACTGCACACTCCACAATGTCATAATCCTATCTGACAATGTTAAAGGAGTAGCTCTTAAAACAAAATCTGGAAGTAAATGTAGTGCCCAAAGAAGTCCTCATTTCATTGAACAACTCTGGCATCTAACTAAAGAGCAATAAAGAATAACCATAATGCATTACCAACATAATAATAAGCAATAATAAAAACCTTACTAGAAATAATAAGTAAAGAACCTTATTGTCCTTACCAAAATTTGGACAATAAGCAGTAATAAAAATCTTCACCAAACTGAACCCAAAAAAATAATAAGAAATTCATTACCAAACATTAAGTAAAGACCGGAAATAAACATCACAAAAATCTGGACAAAAACGAAACATTCATGCTTCACCAAACTTCATAACTTAATGCCAACTTCAAGGCAAAAACAAAAATAAGCATTCATTGTTTTGTATCTACCAAATTCAACCCAAAATAATCATAAGCATTCATTGTTTTGCATCTACCAACTTCAACCCAAAATAAACAAATACATTCATTGTTTTGCATCTACCAACTTCAACCCAAAATAAACAAATACATTCATTGTTTTGCATCTACCAACTTCAACCTAAAATAAACAAAACACATGCATTGTTTTGCATTTACCAATTTCAAGCAAAAATAAACAAAAGTAGACAACTTTTTGCACTATCCAGAACACTTCAAATCTGGGATTTTCCATTAGCTTTTTTTGTCTTCAACTTGCCCTGTCTCTCTCTTTCCAGTTGATTGCCAGTGACAACTTCTTTTCCTTTCCAAGTGAGCTTAGTAGGTGAGTAAGGCAAATCCGTAGGCTCACTAATTCCAGCATGATCACCTCTAATAGATATAACTCTATTTCCAATTGCTCTTTGTTGATTCATCCTCATCTTCAGTTTTGTGCGATTTTCAGATATGACTTGAGGCCTTATAACTGGATCACTTTCAGGCTCTCTAGCAGGTCCAAATGGTTCATACTGTTGTTGTGACAGTCCAGGTGTGGACATGAAATGGTATTCTTCATCTTCTGTTGATCTAGGGGCTGAGCTATTAACATCATAATCTTCTCCATATTGAACTGAGAAAGAAAAGCAGACATAAATGAATAAGAAACACAAACACACAATAGCTAAATAAATAAGTCATTACACTTTAGAAATCTATACTAAAAGAGAAAAAACAAACAGTGGCCACAGATTTATTACAACATAATGAGTGGAGTGAAAATAACTCAACAAACATACATGAATAAGATACACAATAAATAAGTCATTACACTTTATAAAACATACAGGAGCTAGATGGTTATTACAACATAAATTATTAAGAAACATAAACACACATGGGCAGTGGTAACTTAGTGAGGTCTAGTAGTAGTATGTATTATTGTTAACTTTTGCAAGTGTTTTAAAAGTTGTCAAGTATATCGGCTACAATGTTCATGTACATAGTAGGACAACTAGAATAATTGCTTACTATGCTCAAATAATTATATATTAGCATCAAAGAGTTCCTCAAAAAAGGCAGCACAAGTTAACTACAGGTTAACTAAAAAAGCATCAAATTGCTTACTATGCTCAACTACAATGTTCATGTAAAGTTGTCAAGTATATCTGCACAAGTTAACTACTGGTAACTATGCTCAAATAATTGCTTTGACCACTTCTTGAGCTAGTAGTTATAATTTTGTTATCACTTTATCTTTACTAAATCTCCTTATTGATTCAAGGAGTTTGTTTAGCAAGTAGTTTAGTTTGATTTTGTTATTCCTTTTTAATATA